GGTGACCTTCAACCTGGCAGGATCTCTGGTCCTTCTTTCTACCTTTTGGGGCATTATGTGTGCTCCAGAGGTGAGTTTTTATAATTTAAGTTGTGGCCACCATACCCAGGGTGACTAAAGTGTGTCAAAACACTGGTTAGCCCAGAGTTATGTCAAGAAGAGAGAAGGACAAAAGTTGTTGGAATACACCATGTGGAGAACAGCTATGGAGTGTGTAGATCTTTGTTTTGAAAATGTGAGGCTGTAATTGTATATTCTGTACATATCTATTGAGAATACAGTTATATTTTTATAGTAGTAGTTTACATAACCTGTGAAGAGGGCTGGTGAAAGGATATCAGAGACACTCAGGATGATCAGCCATAATGTAAGTATTACCCCTAGACAGATAAGGCCATTAAGTAAAAAGCTACCCCACACTAGAATATGTAGTGAGAACCTTACTATCAAAGTAATAAGGGACAAACCAACGTAACACACTTCCCCATGGATATAAAAGGAAAAGTAATAAGACCAAGAACTATTAAGATAAAATCAAAGAAAACTCAGATGAGTGTGTATAAATAAACGTGTACATGTATGTGTAGTGTGACCTAAGTGTAAGTAGAAGTAGCAAGACGTACCTGTAATCTTGCATATTTATGAGACAGACAAAAGACACCAGCAATCCTACCATCATGTAAAACAATTACAGGCTTTCGTTTTACACTCACTTGGCAGGACGGTAGTACCTCCCTGGGTGGTTGCTGTCTACCAACCTACTATATATATATATTTTAAATTATATATATATATATTATATATATATATATATATATATATATATATATATATATATATATATACACCGAAAAAAAATACCATAGAGTCAATAAAAAAGTTCATGCAGACCAGCGTTATCAACTTATTGAGGAATATTGAGATAGTGTGATATGTGATATATCACTATGCATTATTAATATTAAATAATATACCAAATAATTAAAGCGAATATCATAAATTACCTTGTAAGAGATAAAATATAGATTGTACATTAATATCTAGATTTAATCATTTTAACCTTTTTAGGGCCTAGTTCCTAGACCTGTTACATGTCCTTGTTCTCCTGCACTGCCTTTCACACCGTGGAAATGTGGAACTAATAACTAACGCATCAGAGGGAAAATCTAAATAAATTTATTCTCTATTTTGCTCGTGATCAAAGTCTAACACACACTCTTGCTCTCTCTCACACGCAGGATGTTGGCGTGCTCCTGGTTGTTGGTGACAGCCGTGTTGACGGCCCTGGTGGGGACGTCCTCGGGAAAGGTCTACAGAAAGTGCGAGTTAGCTAGCGTGCTGGAGCGGCAATTCCGCTTGCCAAGATATGTCATTAAAAAATGTACGGATTCCCAAGTTCAGTCTTTTTTTTTTCATTATGTATATGGAGACACGCACAGACACACACACACATTGACTCACTCACACATACAGACACATAAACCGAACTGGTCACTTAGACCAAACTATCTTAAATACTGAAATTTTTCAGGATTTTCTTCTTCATTGTGATAGATATTTTTTCATAAAAAATTACGTAAATATATTTTGGAACCAAACCCAACTTAGAAACCTCACCTAACGTAACCTAACCTAACCTAACCTAACCTAACCTAACCTAACCGAACCAAACCCAACTTAGAAACCTCACCTAACGTAACCTGACTTAATGTAATTTTTCTAGCCGAATTCTACTCAGTATCATAGGTAAACTTAAATTTATTTAATATGTGATAAAATCAATAAGTTTTTTTTTCGTTATGTTCAGATTGATTTTCCAAAAGTTTATGGTATTAGAAAATGTTCTCTCTGCTTAATCGGCACAAAATATACTTGATTACTTTTTTGGGCCTAACTCGCCGGTCAGGCTTATTCAGGACGACACACACACACACACACACACACAGGAGAGATAGGGGGGATATGATAACGACATATACAATTCAAGGGGGAACGACAATTGGCAAGACGGAATTCCAGGGGAGGGGACACAGCAAAAGGGTGTCACATAGAAAAAGCTCAAATAAAATCGCGGGATGCGGGTGTATTTCTTCAGTCACAGGTTGTCAGGAAGGGATAGTTGGGAAGTGTTTTGTAGTGGGGCGGATCCATACATAGCTTTAAAGAGAGGTATAATAAAGCTCATGCAGCTGGGGAAGGACCCATAGGGGCCATGTAGAGGGGGGGCCCGGGAGCTAGGACTGGGCCCCCTGAACCCAACTGGGTGAATCCAACACAGACAACACACACACACACACACACACAACAAACACACACACACACACACACACACACACACCACACTGGGTGGCCAAGACTCCCAAACCTCACTCAAGGAGAAAGTCTTGGGGGTGAATAACCCCGGGCATGTTGGGGAAGACACAAAATCAGATAACTGCGCAGCATAGGGGCCCCTAAATGAGAAACTTTTCCGATCCCTTAGAAAGGAATCATTCAAGACACTGTACCGTGTATGTCAGGCCCATTATGGAGTTTGCGCACCTGTTTGGGAACCCCCCACTTGATAAAGCACGTCAAGAAATAGAGAAAAGTTCAAAGGGTTTCGACAAGGTTTCCAAGGCTAAGGGAAAAGTCCTAGAAAAAGATTAAGGGAAATCGGCCTGCGCACTGGAGACAAGGGCAGGGGGGAAATGATAACGACATAAAAATACTGCGGGAATAGACAAGGTGGACAAAGACAGGTGTTCAGGGAGGGGACACAGAAACAAGAGGCCCAATTGGAAGTTGAAGACACAAATGGAATCAGAGAGATAGTAGGAAAATTTCTTCAGTCATAGAGTTGTAAAGGGGTGGAATACCTAGAAAAGACTAGGGAGGAGGAACCTACACAGTTTAAGACAGGTTTGATAAAGCCATGGAGCGGGAGGAGGGGCCTGTAGCAACCGGTGAAGAGGCGGGGCCCGGGGGTAGGACTCGACCCCCCCAACCCCAAAAAGGTGAGACAAATGGTGAGTACATACCAATAGGAGAAGATGGTGGAACACCTAGAAAGGAATGATCTAATCAACAGACCAACATGTTTTCAGGGGGCGGGGAAAACCCGTGTCACAAAAACCTACTGGAGTTCTGTGACATGGTGACAGCAGTAAGACAAGAGAGAGAGGGGTGGGTGGATTGCATTTTCTTGGACTGCAAAAAGGCGTTTGACACAATTCCACACAAGAGATTAGTGCAAAAACTGGAGGACCAAGCAGAGATAACAGGGAAGGCACTACAATGGATCAGGGAATACTTGTCAGGAAGACAGCAGCGAGTCATGGTACGTGGCTAGGTGTCAGAGTGGGCACCTGTGACCAGCTGGGTCCCACAGGGGTCAGTCCTTGGACCAGTGCTGTTTCTGGTATTTGTGAACGGCAGGACGGAAGGAATAGACTTCGAGGTGTCCCTGTTTGCAGATGATGTGAAGTTGATGAGAAGAATTCATTCGATTGAAGACCAGGCAGAACTACAAAGGGATCTGGACAGGCTGCAGACCTGGTCCAGTAATTGGCTCCTGGAGTTCAATCCCACCAAGTGCAAAGTCATGAAGATTGGGGTAGGGCAAAGAAGACCGCAGACGGAGTACAGTCTAGGGGGCCAGAGACTACAAACCTCACTCAAGGAAAAAGATCTTGGGGTGAGTATAACACCAGGCACATCTCCTGAGGCGCACATCAACCAAATAACTGCTGCAGCATATGGGCGCCTAGCAAACCTCAGAACAGCATTCCGACATCATAATAAGGAATCGTTCAGGACCCTGTACACTGTGCATGTTAGGCCCATATTGGAGTATGCAGCACCAGTTTGGAACCCACACTTAGCCAAGCATGTAAAGAAACTAGAGAAAGTGCAAAGGTTTGCAACAAGACTAGTCCCAGAGCTAAGAGGTATGTCCTACGAGGAGAGGTTTAGGGAAATCAACCTGACGACACTGGAGGACAGGAGAGATAGGGGGGACATGATAACGGCATACAAAATACTGAGAGGAATTGACAAGGTGGACAAAGACAGGATGTTCCAGAGATTGGACACAGTAACAAGGGGACATAGTTGGAAGTTGAAGACACAGATGAATCACAGGGATGTTAGGAAGTATTTCTTCAGCCACAGAGTAGTCAGGAAGTGGAATAGTTTGGTAAGCGAAGTAGTGGAGGCAGGATCCATACATAGCTTTAAGCAGAGGTATGATAAAGCTCACGGTACAGGGAGAGTGACCTAGTAGCGACCAGTGAAGAGGCGGGGCCAGGAGTTTGGACTCGACCCCTGCAACCTCAACTAGGTGAGTACAACTAGGTGAGTACACACACACACACACACACACACACACACACACACACACACACACACACACACACACACACACACACACACACACACACACACAGCCTTAAGGCACCCCTGTTTAAGCAGTCACTCTATCCCCTTCATTCCCTCCACCCTTCACTCCTATCTCCCATCCTATCACTATCTCTCTCTCCCTCTCCATCTCTCTCTCATCCTCTCTCTTTCTCCCTCCCTCTCTCTCTCCCTCTCTCTCATCCTCACCTTCCATCCATCTTCCCTCTCTCTTACCCATGCTCTCTCTCCCTCTCCTACTCTCTCTCATCCTCTCTCTCTCTCTCTCTCTCCCTCTCTCTAATCCTCACCTTCCATCCATCCTCCCTCTCTCTCACCCCCTCTCTCTCATCCTCACCTTCCATCCATTTTCCCTCTCTCTCACCCCGTCCTCTCTCCCTCTCTCTCTCTCTCTCTCATCCTTTCTCCCTCTCCCTCTCTCTCATCCTCACATTCCGTCCATCTTCCCTCTCTCTCACCCTCTCTTTCTCTCATCCTCACCTTCCATCCATCTTCCCTCTCTCACCCTCTCTCTCTCTCTCTCTTCTCTCTCTCTCTCTCTCTCTCTCTCTCTCTCATCCTTGTCTTACATCCACCTCCCCTCTCCAGAGTCTCTTCATCCCCCTCTCTCTCCCTCTAACCTCTCACACACTCCCTTTCTCCTCCCTCCCTATTCCCTCTTGTAACTCCTAAAACTCTTCTTGATACTGCCCCCTACTCCCACCCCATGTCCTCCCCCGGCCGTACCTCCCTACCCCTCCCAGTATCTACAACACCCAGCCTCACACAAACACCCTTTCTGAAAATACATAAACTTCGTTCTGTGGCACAATGGTTAAAAAAACAAGGCCGAGAGCCAGGGGTATGGCTGACGAAGCTGGGAAGGATGACTGGGAGGCAAAGCCCAAAAAAAGGAGGCAGACTGGGGAAGGAAGCTAGAAAAGCTTGGAAGGAGGATGGAGGAGATGATAGCTGCAGAGAGCAGAAGTGGGAGCAACATGCCATAGTAGCATAAGCCAAGATACAGCGCTTAGAAGAGGAACTGAGTAATCTGAAACAGCCTAAAGAAAAAAAATAACAGTACAGACATAACATCAGGAACTTCTACATCAGACACAGACAAGGGGACTGAAGGAAGCAAGGAAGCTATACTGTATGCAAAGGTCCTGTCAGACTCCAAGGGGGCCAAGGCAAAGACAAGAAGCACACTAGGAACAAATGAGAGGTTGGGAGACATTGAAGGAGCTAGGATATATACAGGGACAATACCAGACTCCTGAAGGGGCCAGGAACAGCTGAGCAGGAAAGACAGACCAATGAGCAATGGGGCCTCAGCTAGGGAAGGGATTGAAGGAAGGAACACTCCAAGGGAAGGAACTAAAACAACTCAGAGAACGCAATGGGAGACACACTGGGAGGAAGAAAGGGAGAGATCATTTTTTGTCTATGGGCTCCAGGAAGCTGAAGGGGAAACCTACAAAGAAAGAAAACAGGAAATAAAAGCAATTGAAGGTATCATGAAGGCAATAGGCGTGAGTGACATGACCCAGGTGGCAAATTTTCGGAGAATTGGGTGGTTCACAAGGAGAAGGAAGCAGCCTTTCAAAGTAATTTTCAAGGCAGAATCAACTCGAACCATGATCCTGCAGGAGAAAGCACAGCTGAGAGACAAACTGGAATTCCAGAATGAGTACCTCGATCAAGACAGAACGCAAAAGGAAAGGAGGATACTGAAAGAGAGAGTACAAAAACGAAAGGAGGAATGGGAGGAAATGACAAAGAAAAGCAGAATAACCCAGACACAGGTGGAAGGGCAAATACACCCCCCAGAAACACCCACAGAAGGACTCCAACCATGACAACCCCAAGACAACTGAACAATATAAGCCAACAATCACACACTGATCCTTCTGTCCCCACCCCCACACCACGAACCCCAACCCTACAGCAACCCTCTATGGGAACTGTGACCCCACCACAACCCCCCGTAGGCCCCCGCCAGGG